AAAAAATATATGGCATGTAAAGCAATAAAGAAGTGCACTTGTATACTCTTATATAAAGGTGAAAAAAAAAGATTTTCTAATTATTAGAAAAAAAAGTTAAGGTAACTCAAACCGTTTGATCAAACCGATTGCAACAAACCATTTAAGTTCAAAAACTAATCCTAATGAGTACTGTGAACTTACTCCACTTGAGTAAACGAAGCAATTTGAGCCCAGTAAAAGCCAATAAATGAAGAGAACTCAAACCAACTGAGTACTGTAAAACCCAATAAGTTAAGGCAACTCAAACTGTTTGGGAAAACCCATTGTGACAAACCATTTGAGTTAAAAACTAATCTATGAGTACTGTGATGAGCACTTGATAACTTAAAACATTTGTTACTAATAATACTCTAAATGTTTGACGATATACATATAAATAATGTACAGTTGAAGTCAAAGTTATTAGGCCCCCTTTGATTTTTTTATTTTTTAAATATTTCCCAAATGATGTTTAACAGAGCAAGGACATTTTCACAGTAAGTCTGATAATATTTTTTCTTCTGGAGAAAGTCTTATTTGTTTTATTTAGGCTAGAATAAAAGCAGTTTTTAATTTTTTTAACACCATTTTATGGTCAAAATTATTAGCCCTTTTTAAGCTATATATTTTTTTAGATAGTCTACAGAACAAACCATCATCATACAATAACTTGCCTATTTACCCTATCCTGCCTAGTTAACCTAATTAACCTAGTTAAGCCTTTAAATGTCACTTTAGTCTGTAAAGAAGTGTCTTGAAAAATATCTAGTAAAATATTTTTTACTGTCATCATGGCAAAGATAAAATAAATCAGTTATTAGAGATGATTTATTAAACTTTTATGTTTAGAAATGTGCTGAAAAAATCTTCTCTCTATTAAAGAGAAATTGGGAAATAAAATAAACGGGGGCTAATAATTCGGACTTCAACTGTGTTTATGACTGTATTTTTAGGTTTACAGTATTCAAACCATTTGGTTTTAAAACTTAAATGGTTTAGCAATCGGTTTCCTCAAACAGTTTGAGTTATCTTAACTTATCGGGTTTTACAGTTTATGTTTTTGACATTGCATCTAATGCAAGTATTATAAATATAATTTAATTATATGGTTTATTAATTCATCTGTGGAAACAAAAGAAAGTGTTTTTGTTTTGAAAATATTTTGCAGTCTACTGGCTCAAAACAAACCTCAGAAAAAAAATTCTTATAAAAACATTTGCAATGTTAATAGAGTTTCTTTGCTATAGTTTCTGTTGTGAACCGTCAAACTAAGATCAAAACAGCCGGAGTTCCCAATTAGGTCACAAAGAAAAAGCGTTGTTCCAGTTTAGTCATGATGGGAAGGGCCTCTGCTCCTTGTCTCTAATTTGCCCTTGTGTTACTATGGAAACCATATCAGTGGCTTATTGGCGTATCTTATCAGCCTAGTGCCCCAACAGCAAGGTCCCTTTGTGTTTCTCATGAAGAAATAACTACTATAGATTCCCACCGAGACCCAGGGCAGAGTCTACTTTACATGCTCTCTCTCTCTCCAGCTCTGTCTATCTCTCATCCTTCCCTCGCTTTTGCATGTGATCCGCTCTGCCTTTGAAAGAGTGACGTGACAAGAGAGAATGGCTTCACAGTTCTCTGCGATAAAACAAAAACGCAACCGCGGCTTGAGTTCTGGCCACCATCACTCTTCTCTCAAAGGAGAGACGTAATGACACCAGATGAGACGGGTGGGATATTTCACACTGAAACAGAAATAAAATGCATGCTTATAATTGTGGTTGTGAAATATTTTAGGTTCTTGACGTATAAATGATGCATAACCGGATGTTCTTGGGACAATAAAAGGTGATAGGGTTATTATCCTGGCAGATGGAAGATGTCTGCAGTGTTTGGTTATATTGCATATGCTCATTTTACAGTAAGGGTCTCTCTTCAGATTGCTTTATTTAGATTTGCTATGGACACTTTTATTAAAATTTTATTTCTGTCATGATTTAATAGCCCTTTGTTTAATCCAAATTTAGTTTCTTTCTTCTGTTTAACAAAAATACACACTCTAAAAAATGCTGGGTTGTTGTACCCAATTGTTGAATCAAATCTAAACTGTTGGGTTATAAAGTGTAATTAAAAAATGTAGCAAACATTGAGTTTGTCTATATTTGACCCAATGTTGCATTACAACAACCCAGAATGCAAGATATTCCTAAATATGTTGGAAACAAGAAGCCTTTCATAGTATTTTAAACTGTTTAAACTAACAAGTTTACACTGAAAAAAAATATTCAAAGATGATTCCTTGGATTTACAATTTTTTTTTACGTTAAGTGGTTGTAAACAATTTGTTTGTTTAAATTCAGCCCAAATAAATTAAGTTGAACATTATTAAATTGAATTTGTTTGTTTAAATTCAACACAAATAAATTGTTTGCAACAGTTCTGGATGCAACACTTTTTTTCAATGTACATTAAACATTAGGATTTTAATTATTATCAGGTTAGTAAAATATCAGGACAAGCTAAAAATATACAAAACTGTTGACTTATCAAGCTAAATTTATACAACTCTACATTATTTTCTAGCAGTAACTTCTTATATAAAAATAATAAAGAACCCACACTGTAAAACCCAAGAAAAAGTTTGAAAAATAATCCTAATGAGTACTTTGAACTCACTCTATTTGAGTAAACGAAACAATTTGAGCACTGTAAAACCCAATAAATGAAGAGAACTCAAACCAACGGAGTACTGTAAAACCCACTAAGTTAGAGCAACTCAAACTGTTTGAGGAAACCGATTACTACAAACCATTTATGTTAAAAAGTACTGTGTACTATGAATTTACTCCATTTAAGTTGAAGTAATGAGTTATTTAATTACCTCATTGCCTTCAACAATGAGTTTTAAAACTCTTTTCAAATTAGTAGAAATAACTATCAATAAATTTTGAGTTAACTACACTCATTTCATTTGATAAAGTTGACTGCTGGGTTTTACTGGGTTTGGCATTTGTGTTCATCATTAAATAAATTAGTATTATATTACCTATAACAGCTGATAAAAAGGATGAAAAAAATGATACAAACTTTTAAAACAACAAATAATATTTTTTAAACAAGATATTTCTACCTAGAGGAGATTTATCATAAATATTTACTTGAAAAAAACAACAACCCACAATTGAGGTATTTCCACTAGTGTCACATTTATATTTTCACAATTTGATTTAGATGTTATATATTTTAGATATAATACGCTCTAATAAATGCTGGGTTGTTGTAACTCAATATTGCATGAAATCTAAACTTTTGGGCTATAAAAGGGTAACTAAAAAACAAACAAACCCAACATTGAGTTTGTCCAGATTTGTCCTGATATTGCATTACAACAACCCAGAGTGCAAGATATTCTTAAACATGTTGGAAACAAGAAGCTTTTCATAGTATCTTAAACTATTTAAACTAACAAGTTTAAATGAAACTTCATGAATTTATCATCAAGTTAGTAAATTATCAGGCCAAGCAAAACATATACAAAACTGTTACCAAGCTAAATTGATACAATTCTATATCATTCTCCAGCAGTGCACCCAATAAACCCAAAACAACGCTGTTTTCTGGCATTTATGTTTGTCATTAAATAAATAAGCATTATATTACCCCAACAGCTGATCAAAAGGATGAGAAAATGACACCCAAACTTTTACAACAAAAGATATTTCCACCTAGGGGAGATTGATCATGGAAATTTACTTGAAAAAAACACATTGAGATTTTCCACTAGTCTCACATTTATGTTTTAGCAATTTGTTATTACAATGAACTCCAAAGCATATCTGAGATTTCTTTTAATAAGTAAAGAACATAACAAACATTCAGAGAAGATACTATGCTTTATTTAGTTTGGCTATAGACTCAACATTAATTGTTTTCAAGTTAATATATGTAGTAAGCCATCACTTAATTGCCCTCTGTGTAATCCAAATTGAGTTTCTTTCTTCTATAATACACGCTCTAAAAAGTCCTGGGTTGTTGTAACCTAATATAACAACCTAGAATGCAAGATATTCTTAAACATGTTGGAAACAAGAAGACTTTCATAGTAGTTTAAACTGTTTAAACTAACATTTTTTTTGCTAAACATTATGATTTTAATTGCTATCAAGTTAGTAAATTATCAGGTCAGGCAAAAAATATGCAAAACTGTTACCAAGCTTAATTTAAACAATTCTATAATATTCTCCAGCAGTGCACTTATTATTTAAAAATACCAAAGAACCCAATAAGCAATGCTGCTTTCTGGTATTTGTGTTCATCATCATCAAATAAATTAGTATTATATTACCTCAACAGCTGATAAAAAGTATGAGAAAATAACACACAAACTTTTAAATTAAATAATATTTATACCTAGAGGAGATTTATCATGGAAATTTACTTGAAAAATAAAAACACAATCGAGATTTTTCCACTAGTCTCACATTTATATTTTAGTAATTTTTAATTAAAATGAACTCCAAAGCATGTGTGTGATTATTTATATATTTACCTAAACAGCTGATCAAAAGGATGAGAAAATAACATGCAAACTTTTAAATCAACAAAAAAATAATTTAAAAAGATATTTAGGAGAGATTCATCATCGAATTTTACTTGAAAAAACAGAATTGAGATTTTCCACTAGTGTCTCATTTATATTTAATTTATATATATATTTTTTTATTAAAAGGAACTCCAAAGCAAATGTAAGATTTTTAATAAGAAGAGAACATAACAAACATTAAGAGAACATACCATGAAATGATCAGCCAAATAAATCTAGATATAGAGTATAAATCTTATGTATAAATAAGCTATATATAAGACATTTATTATATTGCATTTAAATAAAACCAACAGTACAAGAGCATCAATTCTGACCTGTGTTCTTACCAAATTCAGTTTAAAAAAAACAAAGCATGCAAGAAATCAGTTTATGACATGATGGCTTGAGACAAAGTTTTTTTTTTATTAAAACTGCTGAAGGATATTTTTAAAATGACGACATCTTACAAAAATACATCATGGCAATTTCATTAGGGTCTGTGTAATTGTCTGATAAAAAGGTAGTTACAAAGCTTTGTTGTAACAAAATGATCTCCCCCCCTCCCCATCAGTGAAGAACAGAGAGGTCACTAGTGCAAAGGATTGTATGGAAATGGCCCAGTGCATTGTCTGCTGATCTTACAAACAGCCTAAGCTGAGCATGTACTGTAGCACACTGGAATAACAGTATTTCTAAAACGGGAAGTCTGGAAAACAAACAGCTGGATTTACCACAGTCTTGGTCAAACTTATATATATATATATACTTAACACAAATATCTTTAGAATATACAAAAAAAACTTCATGGCCAAGAGTAAAAAAAAAAAAAAAAAGTAATTTCTTCAGCTTCTCAAAAGGACAAGCAAAATGATACACACTCTCCTTCCAAGCGCACTGTATGCTAGTGCACTTGAGCTGAACACGCGTTATGCTGTAACACAAAACAGGAGAGTTTCCCTGTAACACAGTAACACCTGCTCACAGCAGTAACCTGAACTCAAACGCTTCCGCAATCATGCTAACGTCCTCTTATTATCACATTGTTTACATAACTTCACGACACAAAATCATACAAGATATATTAAATTCTTCCCTTCATAAATAAATGCCTGACTCCTGCTTCCCCAAAACAATATATACACATGGCATCATTTGCATACACCTTCCTGTTACATCCGAAACATTTAGCTCCTGAATATATGATCATTAAATTAGACATAGCATTAGGACGCAATCCTTGAAGCATTTCTTTTTCTCAGAACACTCTTAAAGGTAAAGGCTCTTCAATATAATAAAGAACTTCCAACATCACCTTTAAACTCCACAAAAGACTCAAGGATCTTTACATTTTTAAACAATAGTCGAGGAACTATCACTGGCATCCCTGCAAAACCCCCTTTAGAACCTTTAATTTTAAGAGCGCAGGAACCAAAGTTATTGAGGCCAAAGCAAGCTCCGTGTTGAAGATGTCCTGCCATTAACAGTCTGTAGAGTTCAACTGGCTGGTAAACACATTAGGATGCATTGAGGACAGACCTGCTGTAGAGGGTCTGGTAGTAGGCACCAGAGTCAATGGCGGACGGACCTGCATTGTCATAGATCTGTTTGGCGGCCACTGGAGAGGACGTGGCGTAGCTGTTGTAGGCCATCACCTGGTCCTGGTACGACTTGAGGTCCATCTTCTGCTCGTTGGACATGAGATTGGTGATGGAGAACGGATGGTTGAAATTGAAGTGGGGGTCCATTGACTTCAGCGGGTCGTTCTGCAGATCCAGATGGTGCATGGGGCTGCCTAGCAGGTGAGGGCTGTTGCCCATTCCCTGAGAGTGCAGGTGTGAGCTGGATGGAGGCATTGAGGAGGGCACTGATGATGGGATCGGCACTGGAGAGCTGTGTGAAAGATTTGGAGCTTGCGATGGGCAATCCAGCTGCACTAGGCTCCTCTGCTGCTCCTCTGAGGTGGATCCAGCATGGGAGCTGTCGGAATGGGCAGATTCAGCCCCATCAGAGCCGGTGGTGGGACTGTGCTCCTCCTGCATCCCCTCGCTGCTGTGGGTGCCCTTGGTGCTGCTGCCATCCTGAGACTTTGATGAGCTCTTTTTCCCAGCTTTTTCCTCAATTTTAAAGCGCTTCTGGCGCCGGAGGTAGCAGCCGTTCTCAAACATGTTGCCAGAATTGGGATGCAGCGCCCAGTAGGAGCCTTTCCCAGGCTTGTCGGGCGAACGTGCCACTTTGACGAAGCAATCGTTGAAGGATAGAGAGTGGCGGATGGAGTTCTGCCAGCGCTGCTGGTTTTCACGGTAATACGGAAACAGATCCATGATCCACTGGTAGATTTCGTTGAGGGTGAGCATCTTGCTTTGTGACTGCTGGATGGCCATGGTGATGAGGGAGATGTAGGAGTATGGTGGCTTGGCGTGGGTCAGCGAGCGACGGTAGGGCTTTGGCATCTCCTTAGTCCGGTTAAGTGAGGTAGGAGAGGGGTAGCTGATCTGGGACATTGGCTGACCCATGCTTTGGTAATGAGAGAGGGGACCCAGTGTGGAGGCAGATGAGCCTAGCTGAGTCAGAGAGCTGGGGTTCAGAGAGGAGCCTACGGGGGACAGGCTCATGTGGTTGGGGCCTCCACCCATGCTGGATAATGGGCTGCTGTTGAGACCTGCGCTGGGATAGCCCATATTCATGCTGGATGTGGAGCAGGCCGAGTTGAGATTTATGTAGCTGTTCAAGCTGCTCACTGAGTTCATGGCGCTCGGAGAGGAATACATCTGAACGAAAATAACACACAAGAGATTAATGTTGTGCATTTAGTTTGTCAACAACTCATAAACAATTTTGTAATAAAGAATATTTTTAAATAAAAAGTCTAACTTTGTTATATTCTACATTGTCTATAAGAGTATTTCTTTTTATTTCGTTTTACACATAAAATGAATGATTAGTTTAAAAGATCTAAAGGTCGATCTATTAAAACTCCTTTGCAATCTTCGAATGAGTCTCGAAATAAATTGAAACGCAAACAAAAACTAATAATCAAATACAAAAAAGGCTAACAATAATATACATTTGGTGTTGTGTAAGCGGGGGACCAAATAGCTTTGCGCAGCAAAAACAATTTAAATGTAAATGCGCATACGTAAAGTTGAGAAAATAAAGTGGAGTAGAATAAATAAAGTAGACGTTAAGTTGAGAAAATAAAATAAAGTGTTGTAAAATAATTAATGCGGCTTAATCAAAAAAGTAGCTATTATCTATTGCGTAAACTCGAAAAGAAAATTTATCAATTAACTATTAGGCCAACGGTGTCTATTTTGTACATTCGCAAAGAACAGTTTGTGTTGGATCTGGTGACGTGTAAAACAAATGCACAGAACTCTAACGTGAAATCAAAACGAAATTAGCTATAATCAAAAGCCAAATGTCGACTTTTAAAAACAATATATTTCATTATTAAATTGCAACATCATGTACATATTATATCAATGAATAATTAATATTTAAATTGTAATTATAAACGCCTAAACGTTATGTCGCATTTTATTTTCTATCTATCTATCTATCTATCTATCTATCTATCTATCTATCTATCTATCTATCTATCTATCTATCTATCTATCTATCTATCTATCATAATATTTTTGAATAAAAACATATATTTTATTAGTTATTTAAAACAATTTTGAAGAGTTTTCACAGCTTACCTCATTTGCCTCACTGTAGAAAGGATTCCACTCCGGAATTTCATGAGATTCCATCTTCACGGAGCTCAACATCCCCAAATAAAGTTGTAACTCGTAAGAAACGGGATAGTGACTGACGACTAACGTGTACTAAAATGCCCTCGAGCTGTTATAAGGATTTCGCTTTTAAAATAAATAAACAAACAAAACGTCCCACAAGAAGAGAAACTTTTGTAATTCCACGTAATATGAACTATAAAGTTTTGGAAGTCAGGCTCTTCTGTTATCTTCTGTCCCGTAGATCAATCAGTTGTTTTTTCATGATTAGTTAACTTATAGTTCACTTTGGTGACCCGTAAACATTTTCAAGTATAATCCTGAGAAGTCCAAAGTGAAGCTGTGGAGCCCGTGTCAGCTCTGTGCGGTGAGTAATGTAGGAAAGCCTCACCTCAGGCTTTAAACACGCGCAGGTAAGGGACCGCCCTACGGGCCCCGGGACTCAGGAAGGCGTCCCTAAAGGTCTCTCTTGCCCCCTGCTGTTCTGTATATTGGCCGGCCGACACGTTCATGCCAATTGTCATCCCAGACAACTCCAGGCCTACAATGAAAATGAACGGAGTAAAAAGGAGAAGATATTGGGACATCTATTGCAACTCAGACTAGGCAAAAATGCTGGGTTGTTTAACCCAATGTTGAGTCTGATGTGGACTTGGTTAATGTTGTTAATTAAATATAAATTAAACTTTTTAACTCAACAGTTGTCCATAGTTGACCCAAACAGGGGTTCCAACAACCTCACCAGGCAATTTTATGTTAAATAGACGTCTAATAGACATAAGCATTTGGCTTGGCTAAAACAATCTAACAATAAAACTAGATTCGTCATCAAATACATTTTAAACAGACTTTACACTTGTAGTCATTCATTCTTTTGTATTTGACGACTACATTTGGGCTATTCTTAGATGTCGATTAGATTTTAACTGATAGCCCAAGTTTAGCATTAACCATGCCGTCTATGTTTAGACGTCCATTAGACGTCTATTAGAATTCTTTTTTAAATAACAAAAAAGCTTGCTGTTTTCGCAGCGAGTGAAATCATTAGACAGACAGACAGACAGACAGACAGACAGACAGACAGACAGACAGACAGACAGACAGATAGACAGATAGATAGATAGATAGATAGATAGATAGATAGATAGATAGATAGATAGATAGATAGATAGATAGTTTACATTTTAGTTATTTTTTTTTTCTGGTAGCCTAAGGCACGCGGACAGTCCTGCTTTTGATGGTCGTAAACCACCATCAGTCAATCATTTAATGGCTTCTTCTGTCATCAGTGATGTGTTCAGGCCAGGGTGGTATAAGCTCATCAGGGCTTAAACTCATCACGGTGGGGGTCTACATCAGTAATCCGAGGTGCCAGTTTAAAAAGTTGTTAAATCCCCTCGGCTATCACTTTCACGACGGTCACAGTAAGTGAAGGATGGTGATTAATACTCAAGAGATTGTTTTAAATTGTAAGAACATCGGTTTCTTAAATAACTAAGTATACAAATCAAAATCCACTATGCAAGTGAAAATTATACAAATTGGCGGTAATATTGGGCGCGCATTTGAAACGGTTTATTTAAGTTTTTCTATTTGCCTACAAATGTTTTCCTTATTTTACTTCTACATTACAGTCGTTCTGATGGATTCTAATATTTTTTAGGCAGCTAATCTTTAAGCAGCTGCTTTTATTTTGCGTGTTTGAGGTGCAAATTTGTTTCTGCTCAACACCAGATTCGAATTGTGCTCCATTTTCTGTGTGTGAACTGAACATTTTTGCTAAAACTTTCTGGCTTGAAATGACCCGTGAAGATGCGCGACTGTAGTATGTGAATACACATCTGTTGTTAGGCGCAGACAGGAACATCACAATGTCAATGCATTTCCTAATGGCTAATGAATGGAGATGTAATTGATCAATTGGCGGGGGGTCGACAGGATTAGGAGAGACCTGACCCTCAAAATGCAACGTTCCCACATAGTCAATCATCTAAAAGAGATCATAGTTAAAATGATCAGAATTTAGGCTATTCGATTGTTGATTATCAGTCAGTCTAACGCAATATCACACCCTATTTGCAATGAGAAATTTCACAATAAGAAATATCAGTGGGCTAATTCAATTGTACTAGTGTGCATAGGTCTACTACACTTGATCAAATTACAAAAAAACAAATATATATTGCGAACTTGCAGACGCATCTCTGTTTGGCACGCTTTTCTTCTCCGTAATCCTGCAATGTCTTGAGATGGTGTATTGGCGAACACACATCTGAACATCCTCCCGCTGTCTCTGCGCTTCTCATGCCAATGCAGCGGCGCATCGTTCATTAACACCTCTATAATTGGATAACAATAGTCTTAATGGGTGACGCTAATGGAGGAAGCAGAATATTAGAAACGTGTCTTAAGACTTTTGAGGAGACAAACAGCAGCGAGTCATTAATGATAGTCTAAAACAGAATTCACGTGGAAGCCTCCAAATAACATGCAGAGAGCAGGCAGGAAGTTTTCAGCCGACGATGAATGTGTTAAAATGTGTCTCAAGAACAATAATCACAAGGAGAGAAGTGCAACAAATGACATGCCACTGCACTGTAAAAATGAAATGACAAAAAGTCAAGACAACAAATGTTTTTGTGTTGCTTTAACTTATTTTAATAAGTTAACCAGGTTTCAACTAAATGTTTTAAGCTAGGCTATATACTAGTTCAATCATTGCCCCATGAACAGCTTTTTATCAAAATTTCATAACTGTAACAAGAGGCAATCAAAACTGAACATCAAAACAGCTCTCATGACATTATCGATATGTGGGTCTTTTTAGATTCTCGGAAGCTACAGAAATAAATGTAACAAGTAATATGTTAATTGGGATTATTGTTTTTGTTTACACTCCTCAAAATACTCAATATAAAGTTTAACTTAATATTTTTCGTCAGTTTGAGTTGAGATGACGATAAAAGTAGTTTGACAAACTAAAAAAGTAAGGTATATTTTAATGTAAAAATAGATATGACCAACTAGTCATGAAAGCACAAGTTTTTAGTTCATTGTAACTTATTAAACTAAGTTAATCATGTTCTAACTTTATATGTTATGCAAGCTGTTTTAAGGCAGTTTAACATAAGTTCAGTGAACTCATAAGATTATTTTGATTCAGCTTAAAAATTTAAGGCAACCAGTATTTTTAATGTTTTTGCAGTATATTTGTTCTAATATATATATATATATATATATATATATATATATATATATATATATATATATATATATATATATATTAAGATGTTGAGTTTCACGATATAATTAACTACTCAACATCTTAAGTTGAAACAAAGAATCTAAGTTGAGTTGACTCACATTTTCAAGGTAGCTGGAGAACTTGAGCTTGTATGTTTAACTAAGTGAAATGTTTTACAGTGTACTGCTCAAAGCAATAAAGGGAAGACTTGGAGTTACAGTGCGTTGGTTAAGCGTTTCCTATATTTTTGAGCAGTATATTATTGTGCACATTTATTAAAAATTATAGCACTTCACACTTTCAACACTTTTTTTCAATCAACACATTTTGCATTGATAAAATTACGGGAAACAATTATTTGGCCAATAATTATGATGAGACTGACAATTATATTTGGTTCTGTTTGATTATAACATTATTTTAGAATGGCACACATTCTTTGGAGGTTGCATATTTAAAAGATTAAAACAAAAATTGTAAATAGAAATGATACATTTTATACAAGAGCGTTTCAAACATTTTGTATTTGTGATTTTTTCACCAATTCTAATGCAGAGATGGCCAAAGTTGGCCTATTGTAACCTTTTATTTGGCCCAGCAATCCCATTTCAGAAGAGAGGGAGGGATAGAGAGGGTTGGGGGTTTAATTCCTTTAAAAGAGGTCGTCATTCTAATTTGACGTAACCGTTTTACTTAGTTTTATTGCTGAGCTACAAAAAAAAAAAAAAAAAAAAAAAAAGAGAAAAGGTAATGTTTCAATTAAATAATGTAAATGAATCCGATTTAAAAAAATGTACAGAAAATAATGTCACCCGACGGTTAGAGAAGGAGACTATGCAGAAAACATCGGTGAGCAAATCAAGGTAAAAAACTAGTGTAACTCCATTCTGTTATAAATGAGATTGTTTTTATTTTACTGTAATAAGTTAATTATAAAATGTAAAAAATATGCTGTATTAGTCATTAAACTTTAAAAACTTTAACTTTAAAAACCATAACTTTAAAAATGATTTCTAGTTGTTTTGAAATATTATTAAATAAATTAGGAAATTGCTCATGGCAACTAGGCTATATTTACCTCCGGCCCACTACCCTCAATCTTGGTGTAACAAAGTTTGACCACCCCTGTTCTAGTGCAATATGGTAGAATATCTCCATCTGCTGGACAATAAGTGGCATAACAGCAAAGACATAGATTGACGAAATCCAATTTGACTGGCTTAGTTTTATTTTAATTTAAAATTTTCTCTAGCAATGTCGTCGTGCGTGTTTATTTTGATTTCATTTTTGCTTTTATTGAATACTTATTAATAGTATTTAAATGTACTTTAGTTTCAGTTAATCATATTATCACACCAAAACAATTGATTTTGCCAAGTATGATGTGATCCTGGATTAACACCCATGTTGATCCTGGAACATAATTGTTAAAATGTAATCCATACCTGTTCCCTACTCCTAAACCCAACCAAGACTCTAGATTATTCCCTAAATCAGAGGAGAATAATAGTAGGATTACAATCACGTAGAAGTGCATAAACCTAACCAAAGCCTAAACTTAACATAAACGAATCCCTTAATTCTGATGGGCATGTTGTTCCAGAATCAACATAGTTCATCCAGAAACATGTCCTACTTAGTGAAATCAGCTTAGGTAAGACAATTTCTAAATTAAAATGATTTTTTCCAATGACAATTTCAAATTCCTTTTTGTTTTTAACTTCAAATTTCCTAAAAAATAGTTTTAGTTGACATTAACTCTGTCCTCTATAAGCAAACTGACACTTTATAAACTCTAAAAAGACAACAAATAAGCGTAAAATACATCTGACCATGCTGTATATAGATGAGGTTTGAAATCTAGTCATTTTCCCCACACAAACACAGCAGATAAACTAAGAAAGCAAACAGAATCTAACCTTGAACGCATTCAGAGTCTCCAGTATACAAAAAAACCCAGTGAGCTTTACACATAATCACAATTTCATAAGGACCATTTCAAAGTCCAGTTCAGCTCCACCTTTAATAAGGTCAGACTGATCCAGATTTCAACTACTGTACAAATGTTTTACCAGCGGGTTATCAATGATCGGGGTAAGCTAGTTTATTATGAACACAAAATGCAATAAAATAAAATGTGAGAATAAAGAACTAATGACTAATTTGTTAAAAATGTAGCTAAAAACCTTACTGTAAAATTGCTTTATGTTTAAATATGATTAACTATACAGAATAATAAAAACAAACCAATAAAAAGAATGATACAATATACAATGATGTATTTTGCATCCTTAAAATAAATGAAGGGCGACGTGGTGGCTCAGTGGTTAGCACTGTCACCTCAAAGTAAGAAGGTCGCTGGTTCAAGTCCCGGCTGGACTAGTTGGCATTTGTGTGGAGTTTGCATATTCTCCCCATGTTGGCGTGGGTTGCCTCAGAGTGGTTGTTGCTAGAGCGGATACGTTTGCGGCCGGAAGTTACGAGAATTATTTCTATTATTTATTAAATTTCTCATTTGTTGTATTTTATTAACGTCTACCCCCACCCCAACCCTAAACCCAACCCTCACAGTAATGTAAAATCAGTTGTTGTACCGAGTATTAGTTATGTTATCTATTAAATTACCCAATAAAATGTATTTTTAACGCCTACCCCCACCCCAACCCTAAACCCAACCCTCACAGTACTGTAAAAATATTAATTATTGTTATACAGTGTCATAAAAAAATGCTGCTTTATTAATGTGCATATCGCACTTCCGGCCGGCCGCATATCCAATCTAGACTTTACCCCTCAGAGTGCTCCAGTTTTTCTCCCACAGTCCAAAAACATGTGGTATAAGTGAATTGAATAAACTAAATTGGCCGTAGTGTATGAGTGTGAATGTATGTTTCCCAGTACTGGGTTGCAGGTGGAAGGGCATTCGCTGTGTAAAACCAAAGTTCCTTTAAGGCACGTCATTTCACTCGGCAGCCATATTTGAAACGCATTGATCGCTATATGGCAAATAAAGCCCGCCTTCTAGTATAGGAGCCAAACATCGATCACTATATGGTGAATAAAGCCTGCCTACTGGTATAGGAGGCAAACATCGATCACTATATGGTGAATAATGCCCGCTTTCTAGTATAGAAGCCAATCATCGATTGATATATGGCGAATAAAGCTCGCCTTCTAGTACAGGAGGCAATCATCAATCGCTATATGGGGGATAAAGCCCGTCTTCTAGTACAGAAGCCAATCATCGATTGATATATGGCGAATAAAGCTCGCCTTCTAGTACAGGAGGCAATCATCAATCGCTATATGGGGGATAAAGCCCGTCTTCTAGTACAGAAGCCAATCATCGATTGATATATGGCGAATAAAGCCCGCCTTCTAGTACAGGAGCCAATCATCAATCGCTATATGGGGATAAAGCCCGCCTTCTAGTACAGAAGCCAATCATCAATCAATATATGACGAATAAAGCCAGCTTTCTAGCATAGTAGCCAATCATCGATCAATATATGGCGAATAAAGTATATTAGTACAGGTACAGGATATTAGTACAATAGTACAGGAGCCAATCATCGATTGATGTATTGTGACTTAAGTCCGCCTTCTAGTACAGGAGCCAATTATTGATCACTATAATCTGCAGGAGGGGCTCAGACCAGACGTGAGTTTCTGCAGATTTTGTGTGATTTGGACATTAAGAAATGAAACTAAGGCCACCAATGTTGTTTAATTTTATTGGTGATTCCCAATATGAAATTTAATCTTAAGCTTAGCAATTTTGGAGAAGTGATCGATGATTGGCTCCTGTACTGAAAGGCGGGCTTTATTAACCATATATTAATCAATGATTGGCTCCTGTACTAGAAGATGGACTTTATTCACCATATACAGTCGATGATTGACACTTGTACTGGAAGGCGGGCTTTATTCACCATATAGCGATCGATGATTGACACCTGCACTAGAAGGCTGGCTTTATTTGCCATATAGCGATCAATGATTGGATCCTGTACTAGAAGGCTGGCTTTATTTACCATATAGTGATCAATGATTGGCTCCTGTACTAGAAGGCGGGCTTTATTTACCATATAGTGATCGATGATTGGCTCCTGTACTAGAAGGCGGGCTTTATTTACCATATAGTGATCGATGATTAGCTCCTGTACTAGAAGGTGTGCTTTATTCGCCTTATATTGACCAATAATTGGCTCCTGTACTACATGGTGGGCTTTATTCGTCATATAATGATCGATGATTGGCTCCTGGACTAGTAGGCGAGCTTTATTCACCATATAGCGATCAATAAGTTGGCGGATCATTCCGCTTTAGCGACCCCTGATAAATAAAGTGACTAAAAATAAATAAATGAAGCCCTCAATAGACTCGAGAGTTTGTGAAAAGTCAATCTTTTAATTTAAATACAATTTTAAGCTGTAACATAAAAGCCGATTAAACAAAGGTCTTACAGAACAGTACTTTTGTGCATTTATATATTTAGTCATACATTTTTTTTCCAATGTCATAAAACAATATGGAGAACGAACCAACGAAACGTGTCCAAAAGAATATCTGTTAAGCGTCCATATGTTTTTGAGGGCACAGTATATAATGAACGCGTATCTAAAAGATATTTTTAGCATTTAGATTAAAACAATTTCATCAAGGTATACCTTTGACATGTAAAAATCAAACAAAATCTGGACCATATACTTGTAAAAAAACAACAACAAACAAAACGAAAAGTGGATCTGTTGTGGTAATATTAAACTAGTCGTCGCCTCCAAGGATTTAAAAGTCAATGGGTTACAATAGAAAATATAGTGATCTGCTTACTCGTAGAATAAAAGTCTATTGTGTGTGTGTCTACCCATATAGGTTTAAATACACGTTCCCAATGTAAAACATTCCCTACGTCTGTCCTTGTTATCCGACGAAAGCCACAAAAACCATTTTAACCACAAAAATATATATATATATATATGTTATAGCATCATATGATACGACGATATTCAGCGAGTCTATCTTTGGTTTTTCTATTCATTCAAAGACTTAGTGGTACACAAAGTAACATAGTATCAAATCTAGAGATTGCACATCTATAACCATGGAAAGGGAGAAATCTGGTACAATCTACACGGAGTAAAAAACATAAAAATATCTATCATACATGCTGTATCAAGAAGCGGTCTGAAGGAAGGGCTTTTATAGCACTTAGTAATAATTCCTGGACTATCGGAAAACAGTTTTCTGCAGCATAGACGATGACAGCGGCGGCGGGAAAAACGAGAGCGAGCCTGTAGTCGGTGCAGTTCTGTGATTGTAAAGGACATGGCGTATATCCAAACAAAAGCTGTACAATCGGCATCTGTCTGGTGGTTTTTTTTTGAAGAACATTCTGGCAAATCGTTCATCCTTTGAAATGTATTTCTTCTCGTAGCAAATACGACGCGGTGTATCTATGTGAACCTGGGCTTTCGGTGTAAGAATCGACACGACCAAACGAAGAGTCAGAAGTAAGTGCTGGAGGGTTTAATACATGGGTATCTCTGAAGAGAATCATGGCTGTGTGTTCTCCTCCGTCTCGGACTGAAAGAGAAAAGGTGAAGGGGAGGAAAAGCGGGTGGGCAGAAGAGGGAGGAAGAGGATCTGGCAACCAGCGGCGTCTCTTGAGCACACTCGAGTGCATCGGCCGGCTTCGGGGATTATGATCGCAGCTTCCTCAGGGTGAGGTTTGAGTTCTGTTGGGGAGACAATAATACACGTTAACATTCAGATGTTGCATTATTGACATAAAGAATGATATGTCTCTTGTGAATTTGTGCTTATTAAATGTGCATTCATTTTAGCTACAATACAGAAAAAAGGCAGCTCAAAGCTTTACAACTGAAAATTGTACCATAATTAAAAATTGTTCCAAATGTTTCAGCATCAATTCAGTCTTCAGTAGTGCTGCTTTTAAATTAATTGTGACAAACTGCTTATAAAAGTTTGTGTTTACATAATATTTTGTGTACTCAGGGCTCGACAATAAGGACTGCTCGATGGCCAGGGCCAGTGTACAGAATGGTTACTGGCCCGATCGAACTAGCGCTGCCTTGTCACAAAAGCCTAATCCCAATTCTACCCCTAAAGGCTGATTTATACTTCTGCGTCATACACCGGCGTATGCTACGGCGCTGACGCATAGCCCTTTGCAGTGGCCGTCGGCGTCACTGACGTGCACCTCTCAAAAAATGTAACTACACGTCGCAACAACGCGTAGCGCAAGCTCTGTGATTGGTCGGCTTGGTAGCGCTGACGAGTCTGGGCTGGACCGAGAGCCGCGCGAATGGCGCGAGCGATTGTTTACAAGTGTGGAGTCCTGTGAAGGAGCTTCGGATGGAAAGTTTTGTTTTGTGTTTACCTCATAGTCAAAGTTGTTGCACGTCTGCCGGTTCCTGCCTCAAAATGAGCAAGTTTGAGTCACTTTTACAACCAGGAAGTGTTCAGGAAAAGCAAAACAGAAGCGAAGAAACTCGACAAAGAGGAACATTTACACCTCACTGCCAACTAGCGTTTCGGAAGTGTTAATGCGGACCAACAGAGACAGTGCGCAGGCTTTAGCCCTTCCCCTTACCTCTTGTTTTGCGCGTGCACGCCAAGGGGTAGGGGTGTCCCAATTCCCTTTAGCTTGAAGGCGTAGGGCTAAGGGGAAGGGGTGAATTGCCCTTCGAATAAAAACTTTTTTCAGGACCACGCTTGAAACCAAGGGGTAAGAAAATTTCCCAGAATACACCTGCCACAAAGGCAGTATTGGTGAACCCGGAAGTAATGAGATCCACAAATTAGTATTTTTGTCACAATATGTGTGAATACACAGTACAGTTACGATCTTATTGCCACATTAGATCGCTATGATAACATGCTATATGCCTTGAGTGATTTCCTGAAGATAAATACCAATAAAAAACACAACTGGAATAACTACAGCAGTCGCGATCGTCTGATCTCACATGAAGCATCAGATCGCGAGGACATTTGATGACGTGTGCAGGTGCTGTCCTAATTCTTAGGGGTAAATTTTGAAGCCCGTCAGTGCGATTGTTATATGTTTTAAAACAAGCTTCTCCTGCTCACCAAGGCTGCATTTATTATATCATAAATACAATACATATTGTAAAATTGTGAAATGTTATTGTGCTATAAAACAACTGTTCAAAAGTAGTTTTTTTTTTGGTGGGGCCAGTAAATTTTTTCGCAGGGCAAGCAAAAATCTGAACCATTGGCCCGATCGAGCCAGTAGAAAAAATCCTTAGTGTTGAACCCGGAGTACGCATATACATATATTTTATATATAAAATATTTATAACACATTATATATAAACAATAATATTAGAGCTGCACAATATATCATTTCAGCATCGCTATCGCAATGTGTGTCCGCAATAGTCACATCGCAGGATCTGCAATGTTTAATTATAAGTAATCAACAATTGAGTGTACATGAGATTTGTGGAGTCATTACAACATATAACCACAACAGAGTAAAACTTTATCAATTTCATGTGTTTTTAAAGGCATTTCAAGAAAGTGTAAAGCATTCAGACACAATAACGTAAATCATTTGTAACTTTAATAATGAAAAATCTCACTCATTTATTAAAACAATTAAAATTTTACAGTGTTATTTTACATGACTAAATTTCAGTATCTGAATACTGTTTAACTCTCCAAAAAAAAAAAAAATGACTGTTTATTTACTTTTTTATTTGTTCTGTTGTAATTATTCTTGCAATTTTATTCACACATATTTTAATTCACACCCTTACAAAATTAACCCAACCAATCTAATTTAATGATTTTTTACAAATAGAGCTATTCAAGCCAGCTGGTGAAATAGTTTTTATATCACAATATATACATACATACATACATATATATTATCAGGCTTACTGTGAAAATGTCCTTGCTTTGTTAAATATCATTTGGGAAATGTTAAAATAATAATAATAAATTCAAAGGAGGGCTAGTAATTTTGACTTCAACTCTCTCCTTTCTCTCTCTCTCTCTCTCTCTCTATATATATATATATATATAGCAAAACAAAATATCACAATGTCAGATTTTTCCAATATCATGCAGCCCTTATTAATATACAAGTAAATATTTAGAAATTGTATGTGCATTTGTACATAATACACACACACATAATATGTAAATACAAACATTTACTTTTTATGTGATCACTCAGATGCTTCAGTAATCATTCTAATCGGATGATTTGGACTAAAGATCACTGAAGATGATGATTTTTTTTTGCCAAAGCTCTACTTATTATTAGCACTCGAACTCAAATTTACTCAAATTTTAACTCAACTTTTTTTATTCAGTTTGAGCTTCTACGATATTTCGGTATACAATATTGCTTCGACTTTATAATACCCACACTTTCATCTATTCTGCATATTTTGATACACTTTTATGCTACTTTATAAATCATTTTTTACTTATTTCTTCACTTTACTATTTACTTTAATCTTCTACCACTAAAAGGACCCTTTTTTTGTTGTGTATTGCATTTTATGTCTATATTATTTAAACTCAAAATGAACTAAAATAACTTCCTTTATATCTCTCTTCTGTTTCTTTAATATCTAACCTACAGCGCTCAGCATATATAATTACACCCCTCACAAATCCATCTTCTAAATGTATATTTTTAATAGGAAGCTATACAATATTATATTTGTAAAGTCATAAATAATTAGATTAGTGAGTTCTGAAGCCAAATCTGGAGCTTATCTAACAAAATACCTTACAATAACGTTCAAAAGACTAGTACACCCAAATGTATGTTATAGAAAATATTTTACACAATTACAAAAAAGGAGGGAAAATCAAGAGAAACAAAAAAAAAAAAAAAGTGAAAATTAAGTTAAAATTTTGTAGGTTGTAGTTCTTCTTACAATATTTGCTTGAATTTAATTGTATTATCTTACAATTCATAAACATGTTTGGTGACTAAAATATTATTTGAATAAATACATCTGTTTAATAAATCTGTTTTACACAAATGCACCAAAATACATTGCCTACATTCACTGAGGACTTAATAAAAAAAAAAGATTCATTTTAAAAAAAAAAAAATGGGGTGTACTTAATTATGCTGAGCACTAATATAACAAAACTAGTTATAAATATTAATGTACAAGAGTTATTTCGTGCAAATGTCAACCTTGCCATGAGAAAAATTACGTTTTCACCAAAATACGGAAACTGTTTCTGGGTTTTTTGTGTAAGCAAGTATTTTACAGCACTTTAGAAATACTCAAGAATGAATCTGTCAGTGTTTTCAAACTATTCTATTTGATTTAGCAAAGTCGCACAAGTGGCAATTACACATCCGTCACATCCATAACGGAGAAATGTCACATCCATAACGACACCTTTTCCTCATAAATGTGAAAATATTAAATTAAATAAAACCAAATTTTTAAAAATTATTTTTAGAGAGTCAACTTATATCTTTTTGATTAGCATTGTTTCTTTTGAGTTGTGCAGTTTAATTTACAGAATTTCTACAAAGTATGTTGTGTACTGTAAACCCGCAGACTTTTTTTTTGTCACATCCATAACGTATGTTTATTCTCCTCATTTAATGTACAAAACATGTTTACAGATTGATATTTTTCTGGTCCCTTAACTCTGTGGCGAGCTGTTCTGGAAAATACAAACAAAAGTTTCAATATGATGCCATCATATACTTTCCAGTGAATTTTTGTTTTGAGTTTTTACTGCAGATGTCACATCCATAACACTGGAATTGCTCACAAGTAAATATTTTTATATTACATGCGTGCATTTATATACACATGATACACACACATAATACGTAAACACAAACTTTTATTATGTATGTGATCACTGGGATCGTTTAGAAATCATTCTATTAGGATGATTTATATGAGCTAAAGATGTACGATTTTTTGGTGACATTTGACCAACATTAACACTCTGTTTTCACTTTCAACTCTATATCAATTTGAACGCTTAACTTTTCTATTGTTTAATCTTCTACTGTTTAGTTGGCATTAAACACTGCTCTGCCTTTATAATAGCAGCACTTTTATCTATTTCCTCTCGTTTGCTATTTTAAGCTACTTTATATTTTTATTAAACTCGCTTTACTTTTTACCTTGATCTTCTAACACTAGCAATCTCCTTTCAGTTGTGCATTTCCATTTTATTTACACTTTTAAACTCAAAACAAACTAAAATATCTTTCTTTATCTCTCTCTTCTTTCTCTTTTATATCTAAACTAACTAGAAGTTGTCTAATTATTTGCATGTCTCGTCATTTTGATTGTTTTTAATGTCGTCATTTCACTTTGGATTAAATGTTGAATGTAAATCTAGGACTTGCTGCTACATTTATCATCATCAGTGTTGTGGAACAAATTAATTTGTAGTTCAAAACAAGACTTTAAATTGGAAAATAAATGTTCCCCCATTCAATTTCATGCATGCTTTAGGGATAAAGCCATGGAGTCAAACCTGCTGGTGGCGTTAGGGGTCTCTTTCCTTCTTCACCTTCACATCACCGGCCAGGATTGTGGAGATCTCGCCCTGCATGAAGGCCCACGGCACGTTGGAGCCCACGAGAGGGCACTTCTCTCCACTGGGGCAGTACACCTCACTCCCTGGGCCCTGTCTGCGGATGAAGTCCCGGGTGCAGGGGAAGCAGAACTTATGCCCGGCCACTGATGGACACTGGACGAAGTGGGTGTCCTCCAGACGCTCCTGGCATATGGTGCAGCACAGAGGGGCACCGCCACCGCCAGCTGAACCCTCACCCCCCATAACTGCACTCTGGTCAGTGACGGTGGCCGGGCCTCCTGTGCTGCTGCCAGCAGACGGTTCTCCATTTCGGGACGCCAGTCTCCGCTGACCACCACCAGGTGAAGGACTGGTGCTGTTCTGCCGGCCTGCATTGGCAGAGTGCCCGCTGCTGCCTGGACCATCTTTCGAGGAGGCAGTGCCAACATTGTCAGCCACACTCATGAGCGCTGTGATGGGTGACGGGTCACTACCGTGGCCCTCTGGAGCCTGTCCTGCGCTGGCTAGTGAGGTGGCTGGCATGTGCCCGGGAATGCCAGGATACGCACTGAGCGGCCAGTGCTGCCGCAGCTCCTCAGAGCTCATCCTCTCTGCGCCGTCTGGGTCAGGTGATGCTTTGCGTCTGCGTACTCTGGGTTGTGTTGGGCGGCCGATGTGGCAGAGAGCAGTGGGCAGCATGGAGCAGCTGGCATCCAGGTACGGCTGTGGGAGGGCATCTGGGGCTGGCATTTCTTTGAATGCCCGCACTGCATCGCTGAGGAGCTCTGACAAGAGGCGCCAGTCACCGGTGCCATGCCTTTTTTCATACTCAACATACTTGTAGCCTGAATTAATGACCTTGCCGGTGTCTTTCTGAGAGTCGTGGAACATATGCTTGACCAGTGCCAGTATGCTGGGAAACACATTACCAGAGCCGCACGGGTACTCGATGAAGATCTTCAGCTCAAACTCCACCATCAGCTTGGCGTCAAACGCGAAAACCCTTCCCACCAGGCCGTGGTCCTTCTTGAAGCGGACATTGAACGGGGTGCAGCCAGATAGGGTGTGCAGGGCATCCCGCATGGGTTTAGGGCGTCCTGCCCAGTCGTCTGCCCGGTTGCGCACGCTTTCAGAGAGCTCTGCCAGGGCTTCAGCATTCCTCTGCTTCTCCTTGAACTCCTTTTCGAACTCGGGGGCCATGAAAGACGGCACACCCACACTCAACCCCATGCTCAGGGCCTGTCTTTTGCTGATTTCATTCAGCATGGGGGCAGGAATGGTCAAGGCGGCACTGCCAGCTCGGGGATTAAGGGGCATTGCGGTCAGCAGGCCGTGAGGTGCTCCCACGAGCCCTTGGGCCATCAAATTGGGTGGCACAGCCCCCACCAAAGTCCTCCTCGCAGTAGGGCTCTGCCTACTAACCTCAGGCGGACCTCCGTCTTCTAATCTGGGCAGCCCGTTGGGCAGCCTGGCGGACACATACTCGCCCCTTCCCCGTTCGTATCGCTCGGAGGGCGGTCTGCCGGCCTCCATAGGACCCTCCTTACCCGCAGGACCGTGTTTACCGCCGGGCTGCGGACCCGGAGACCTGCCGTCCTGCATCACATGTGTCCGCTTGAGCTGCCGCGCGGTGTCGATGAGCAGCTCTATCCGGTCCGCGCCCTCGTAGTTGACGCAGCCTCTGCACACCGCCTCGCTAAAGTCCCAGATCATGGCCCACGGCATCTTCGGCAGGTCGCAGAGGTAGCACCACTGCCGCCTGGAAGATGCCTGCGAGGAAGAGGACATATTTGATAGGCCCTCGCGATCTTGCGTTCTCAAATCCACCCTGAATCTCGTTCACAGCCAGCCTCCGAGTGTTCGCGGTCGATTATTCCCTTGTTACGGACGAGTATATGCCACTCTGTGGGATTTTGTGTCATTCAGGATCGAGGTGTTTGATGTTTCAGCCAAATCGTCTGGGCCGCAGAGTTTCTCCTGGAAGACGTTCCAAAAGTTACGCAACTCTGCGCCGCGGAATCATGGGAGATGTAGTTTTCAGCCGCTGATCGCGCTCTTCCTTCGTAGCGCTTTTGCCTAAAAAAACTCGATTCTTTATGCGAAAATAAAATCTCCAAATATTTATTATAGAAAGGTAATATACATTACAACACCTCTGCACTTCCTCTGGCCTATATGCTTATTTTATTAACCGAGGGACATAAATAGTATGCGTCTACTTCAGCATTCATTCATACAACGTATTTTAAAAGATTAAACAACATCTGTATTGTTTTATATTGCACTGTGATGTTGGCTTATGAAAACATAACTGTAATGATCACAGCATAGTCATGCTAAACAAAAGCAGCCCGGTAATGTAGATACATTTGAACACTTGTAATGTTACTGCAAACAAAGCTGTTCGACTGCAAATCCCAGATTGCAAACAGTCGACGCCACTTCCGCTATTCCTAGCGCCCTGTTACAAAAACTTCCGGTGTTATATTCCAGTCCAAATGACGTCCTGGTTAGCGGTTTCGCTTTTTGATTCTGTTCATAAGAACGACGCACACATGCCATTTTACTCCTTAGACACGACGTTAGCATGTTAACAATTTTACAGGCAGCAATCTTATTGTTTTATTTCATCGATTGGTGAAAATATGCTGATTTAAACAGGAAACAACGAATGAGTTTGAGTAGTTTTACTGAATGAATAAATAATAATCATACATATATCATGCAACATACAACAACCTACTACAGCGCAGTTTCAGTGTAAGCCTGTAGCGCGGATTGTTCTTTGTTTTGTAGTGATGATGATGATGATGATGATTGTGTTTCCTGTTTTCCACTTGTGTCTGATTTCCGTTGATCCTCCATGATGACAGTAAGCGCCTCTGTGTTTGTAACTGTAGACGTGCAGAAATGCTTACAAACAGTGTAAAGCCCCTGGATGAGGAACAGTACAGAGATTATGCTGTAGTATCCTCCATATACAAGAAACTAGAGGGAGAAAATGAAATATAATGTAACTCATTAAATGGATTACACACACAGAGAGAGACATAGAGAGATCTGCATTCTCCAAAGCCTGATATAGATCTAATATTAACAAGCACATGTAAACAGTTTTAAATGTTCAAAAGCAAATGTCTTCTGTTGTTTCATATGCCGGTGTGGTGAGGTGTACCTGTGTTGCAATGTCCAGTCCCAGAGCTGTATTGTCCACCACGATGGCAGTAAGTATTGTTTGAAGAGTTAGAGCAACAAAAGAGTTAATGCCAAAAGTCAGAGCGTAACATTCCATGGAGAGGTTCACCGCTATCTGAAACCTTCCACAGAAAGAAAAAGCGTTGATTTCAAGTCTGACAAACTTGTGGAGCACAACACTGGCCCGAGTCTGGAGTCTTCATAACTTTTCAGTTTCAAAACAACCAGATTTCAGGCCCAGATCTAAAAATCTGCTTTACTGTCATACAAGTTACACAAAATATTTTGGTGTCAAATTTCAGACAGTCATAAATACAAAAAAATCAAGCACATTACACACTGGGAAATAATGGATAATTGGATTTAACTTTTTTTTCTTTTTGCAATTTATATGGGCTGATTTTAAACATTAAATTTAGTAATGTTTAACTTAATTTGTTTGTTTAAATTCAGCCATAATAACCATCACCATGTTTTCAGTGCAGGAATGAGCATCAAATAATAATAATAATAATAACTAGATTATTAAAGTTCGTCGAGACAAACTTTAGGCTGGCTTGAGAAAGTCTGTTGGAAATAGTTTGTTTAGTTTAAACAGTTTTAAAAAGTATGAAAAGATGAAAAGTTGATAGATAGATAGATAGATAGATAGATAGATAGATAGATAGATTAAAACAGTTTATAGATAGATAGATAGATAGATAGACAGACAGACAGACAGATAGACAGACAGACAGACAGACAGACAGACAGACAGACAGACAGACAGACAGACAGACAGACAGACAGACAGACAGACAGACAGACAGAGAGAGATAGATAGATAGATAGAAGCAGTTTGAAAAGGATAGATAGATAGATAGATAGATAGATAGATAGATAGATAGATAGATAGATAGATAGATAGATAGATAGATAGATAGATAGATAGATAGATAGATAGATTGTTTCTCAAGCCAGCCTAATAATAATACATATATACAGTTGATGTCTGAATTATTAAACTTTCTGAATTATTATTTCTCTCCCCAATTTCTGTTTAAAGGAAAGAACACTTTTTCAGCACATTTCTAAACATTATAGTTTTAATAACTCATTTCTAATAACTGATTTATTTTATCTTTGTCATGATGACAGTAAACAATATTTTACTAGATATTTTTCAAGACACTTCATTACAGCTTAAAGTGACATTTAGCTTAACCAGGGTAATTAGGTTAACTAGGCAGGTTATTGTATATCGATGGGTATTCTGTAGACTATCTAAAAAAATATAGCTTAAAGGGGCTAATAATTTTGACCTTAAAATGTTTTTTTTTTTTTTTTTTTAAATAAAAACAGTTTTTATTTTAGCCAAAATGAAACAAATAAGACATTCTCCAGAAGAAAAAAATATGATCAGACATACTGTGAAAATTTCTTTGCTTTGATAAACATCATTTGGGAAATGTTTAATCTTGTCAGGCATATAATCATTTTTTATGATATTTTAAAAATACTTTTGTCATTTTACATCTTAATACTTGCCAACTTTCCTTCTAACCATAGGTTTTACCAATTTGTTAGTACATCATAGAACCTTTTTAATAATTTTAAATTTAATAATATTATTAATAAATTATTTGCATATACGGTAATGATGATGTAAATATTAATAATGATAACAATAAAATCACTAGGAGGAGTCTGTTAAAATACAACCCCTGGAAATGGCAAAACTGCACTTTTTTGGCACAGGAACTTAAAAATATCTGAATTCCTGTTGGATTTGAGATTTTGCTTTAAGAGACTTTTTTGTATTGGCATGTTTGATGTGTGTGCCAATTTTCATATGTGTGCGTATGTCATAGCTCGGGGGCCAGTCAAAAACACATAGGTGGCGCTGTTGAGTCATTATACCACACCCACTTCCGAAACCTAAAACTAACGTAAATTTTCGGCACTTCTGGGGCGTGCGCAAAGTTTTGAGTTTTTGGGCATGTTTAGTCCCTCAAAATCACGATTCATTCCAGCGAATAAAAGTAACAATAATATTAAACCGAGCAATTCCAATAGGGTGCTCGGTCCCTAATATATAACATTAAAGGGAGAGTTTAGCTAAAAATGAAAATTTTCTTAGTATTTATTCTCAGGTGGTTTAAACCCTTTACGAGTGTTGAAAATATTTTGAAAAAAAAAAGCTGAAAACCTGTAACCGTGGACTTTCTATAAGAAAAACCAGCCTGATCTTACGAGGAATTGTAAGTATTTAACGTTTTGTCAGTTTAGTGGCTAATTCCTCAGAGTTCAGTCGTACGAAAATATACAATTTTAAAAAAGAGGCATGGCTTCCAACCCCACCCCTAACCCCAATCGTCTTTGGGGGATGAGCAAATCGTACTAAATTAGCCACTAAATTAAAAAGTTACGAATTGCTGTGAGATTGAGTTGGAAATACAAATACTAATGAAGTCAATGGTTACAGATTTCCAGCTTTCTTTCTTCCAACAGAATATCTTCTTTTGTGTTTAGTTGAAGAAAGAAATTCATAAAGGTTACTGGAAAAAAGTTAACCTAAAATTGTAAAACAACTTGCTGCAGATATTAATGAGCCGACTCAAGTTAAATCAAGTCAAGTGCAGTAATGTAATGTGTGTATTTATATAGCACATTTATTGTGGATGGCCATACACCCAAAGCGCTTCACAATCATGAGGGGGGTCTCTCCACACCACCACCAGTGTGCAGCATCCACTTGGATGATGCGACGGCAGCCACAGGACAACAGCGCCAGAGCGCTCACCACACACCAGCTATTGGTGGAGTGAAGTGACAGTGATAGAGCCAATTCGGTAGAAGGGGATGATTGGGAGGCCATGATTGTAAGGGCCGATAGAGGGACTTTGGCCAGGACACTGGGGTTACACCCCTGCTCTTTCACGAGAAGTGCCATGGGATTTTTAATGACCACAGAGAGTCAGGACCTCAGTTTAACGTCTCATTCGAAAGACGGCGCCCACTGACAGTGTAGTGTCCCCTTCACTTTTACTGGGGCATTAGGACTCACATAGACCGCAGGTTTAGCGCCCCCTGCTGGCCTCACTAACACCACTTCCAACAGAAACCTAGTGTTCCCTAGTGGTATCCCATCCAGGTACTAACCAGGCTCAGCCCTGCTTAGGTTCAGTGAGTAACCGGTCTTGGGCTGCAGGGTGATATGGCTGTGGCTAGTACTTGAGTTTAAAGTTGCATAAACTCAAACGAGCTGTGCATTAAGTTGATTCAATTTTTTTTTACAGTGAAATTGAGAGTAAATTATGACAGAATTTCCATTTTGGGTGAACTATTCTGAAAAAACTGATTGACTTACATTGTGATGGTGATGAGGAACATGTATGAGGCTTTAAAGATGGCGTAGCCTGCGTAACTCAGCCAGATGCTGTTGGTGAGACCCATAAGAAACACACACCCGGCACCGACTGCAGAGAAAACACCCAGAGAGAGCTCACCCCAAACGCCCCACTGTACCTGGATATAACCCACAGAGAAGGCTGCGGCGGCACCTGAAACCAGCAATCACAGCATCACCAACAAAACAGATCCACAGTGGAAGGCAACAATTAAAGCAGAGCATGCATTCAGACTTCATTTGTATGGCGTTCTGTGTTGCTTTTGTTGAAAAGTTCTTGCCAAGCATCAAAACTGAGAGATGTTTTCTTCTTTTGTAATTAAAGTGACTAGTCACTAAAACCCCTACTGATGTAATTGCTTAAAT